GCACTACCAAGTCGCTTTGTTTTGTGAACATCAGTGAGCATTTTTGGAAACCATCGGGAACACAGGTTGCGATAATTCAAGCGATCGGACACAATATCGAACAAAATAGTACGTGAAATTTGTGGAAATTCCTCTGAAAGAGTTGTCATTGTGAAGCGTCTGTTCTCATGAATTGCTTCATCACCTTTCCTTACCAAATCATCGGTGACAACAAGGCCGACCTCTCTGAGCCTCGGCGACTCGGCGATTTGTTCGACCTGCATTAAACATTCTTACCCACTTTCTCACCATTCCATCACTTATAGCGTATTCACTTCTGTCACTTGACGATAAATTTCAGCCAGTTTAACATTCCTCGCGTTCAAAAATTTAATCACGGTACGAATCTCTCAGTCAGTGAGAGAACAAATTGTCGTAAACATTTTGAATGTGCACAGCAAACTGAAAACGCAACATAGAGCAACCAAAATGACGACAATTGAAGGTCAGTGAACAAGAAAGACTAGTGCGCATGCGCGGGACGCCTACCACAGCACTGCGATGGCCCTAGAATGAAACGGTACTTAGTTTCCGAATACGCTTCGTAAATTCATTGGTGAATAAAGCTGGAACCTCCTCAATCTTCTCATTTTCTCAATGAACAACTACATAATTATATACATTCAATTTTTACTAATATATACATACATACATACACACACACATCTTAAATTATAGCGCGGCCTGCGAGAATTTTATATGTGGCCCATAAGCCACGAAAACAGGCATATTTTCTTAAAGATGTCTCATCCTTGGATCAAAACAAAGCAAAAGCACCTACTGGAATATTTTTAGATCTTTCAAAAGCATTTGATGTCATGGATCATAACATTTTACTCTCTAAATTACTTTCATATGGAATTCGTGGTGTTGCACTAGATTGGTAATGGTCGTACCTTAAACGCCAATTGCAGGTGGAGTCTCGCAGGAATCGATTTTAGACCCTATTCTCTTCCCACAATGCCCTCGACGATTAGAAATGGAAGAACAGTTATCTTTGCGGATGATACAAATATTCTTTACAATAAAGAAACCATAAATAGTGCAATTTCAGATATTTCAAATTGGTTCCATAACAAAAATTAATAGTAAATGAAAAGAAAAATGTTTCAATGCAGTTCTCCATTTCAAATAAACAGCTCGGCACTTCAGTGAAAATGAACGGTGTGCCATTGACTGACGTTAAGGTAACAACTTTTAGGTATTTCAATTCAGTCAAACCTTAAATAGAACGTCAATTTAAATGAATTGAACACTAAATTAAGTTCTTTATGCTACGCTTTCAGAATTCTTTCAAATTCGGTCAGCCTACACCCTGCTCGTTGTGTATATTTCGCGAATGTTCATTCCCGCCTGAGTTATGGCGTAATGTTCTGGAGAAATATTTATTTATTTACGTCAGAAACAGTTTAAAACTGTGACATGCTATAGGGAGAAGTTAATTTGAAGTTACATTTATGTCCAGAATCAAAACAAGGCGCATCTCAGCATTTACTCGAGGATCAGGGAAACTGGACAAAAACCTGATCGAGATGGGCGTCATTGAACCAGAAGCTGAAGTACAATACTTGTCATAAGTGTTTATAAAAATATAAACAATTTTGCAATATTTTTGGTTAACATGTTCACTATTTAAGGGCAGTTACCCAGGTAACCCAATATTTTTAACCTTATGGTTAAAATTTTGTTATTTTATGAAATATTCCTAATGTAATTCCTAATGTAAATAATATAAATGTTTTCATAAATTAATTAAATATTAACATAAAGTCAAATAATTTTAGTAAACCCTAATTTTAACGCTAATAGAAATCAATAGCATATAGTATCTATTTCGATTACATTGTTGACATAATTACTAACAAAATTTAAATCTTATAAATGCATCAGAAAATTAAGAGAGATGTAGAACATCATAACCACATAATCCAACCCACGTATCGTACGCATTTGGGATATCTGGGTATTTATGATTTAAAATGAAAAATTAACAAGAAATAATTTTTAATAATAATAATCTCATATAAAAATGTCTAAATAGTAATATGTGTCTGTTTGACTAATTTTATATTAATACATACAAAATACATTTATAAATATTATTTAAATAAAATATATATTTACAATACGTTTTTTTAAGCATGATTTTTTACAAATCTAAACTATAATGAAATATTTGGTTTTTGCAAACTGAAACAGAATGGTTTAATTAGTATAATTATCATTGTGCATGCGCAAGTCATAATCGATGTGCATGACGTCACCGAGCGTCTAAAGACAAGATATTTAAAAGGCACGTTCTTTCTCAAAAGCCTAGAGCCTGTCAGATAAAGAATATATACCAAATATATATTTAGTGCCTTTCTATAATTTTCCTCGGTCAGATGATGCAATGTACTGTGTCCATAAAGAAATTTCTGTAAATTTCTAATATTTTACCTAGATTTTTGGGTGTCTATATTACGAATTTTCGTAATATACAAATAATAAACAAACCGAAACACTCGCGGACTATCGTCCTTACTATGGAATACCACTCTATGACATCCTACCACCTTCCAACCAACTTTTACATGAAAATTCCATATTTCACTTCTGCCACGATGTCAGACTACCCGACGCTCTATATGCATTGTTATATACCCTCCTCGTCACCGCGCAGTTTAAAACAAAGGGCAGTCTTTGTGAAACTCGGTATACATGTTTATATTCCAATTGTAGATGTATTTTGGTTCCCACAATTTCTTCATTGTAATACTTTCTAATTAAACTTCAAATATCAAATTTAATTACCCTTCCCCTGTTACATTTTTTTTATATTTAATTGTTTAAACGTTTGTGTAATCGCCCATTGCTTTTATTCTTCAGTTGTCTTTTCCAAACATACGAACATTCATTAATTTAATAAAATATTTTTATTATTATATAATAACCCAGAGTTCGAGCGACTGTGAATCCTTCCTAAACTGTTACTTATTTATTCATTTATTTATTTTTCCCTTCAGTTTTATTACAAACTTGTCTAGTATACTCCGCATGCTTGTGCATGTGCATGCATGCATGTGCGTATGCATGTGCTTGCATACGGCTGATGTCAAACTTGGGCCTATAATTGCCACCTCTCTTGTGAATCGGCACTACAATTGCCTCTTTCCAATTTTGAGGAATCGTATTATTGTTTATAGTAACGTTCACTGCGCAAGGTACGAAATCATGGCTTCCTCTCCCAATTTTAGTATTTCTCCTGGTATTCCATCTGGACCTACAGATTTATTTCTCCTAATTTGTGGGATCCTTTTTCTAATAATTCCTATTCGAAAGGTTTCTATTACGGGTGCTGTTTCACTTACTGGTTTTTGATCCGTCGGCTTGAAAGATGCGTAATATCTGCTTAAACAAGCCGCCTTTTCACTGTCATCTGTAACTAACGAACCGTCTGTTCCACAAATCGCCGGGATACTTTCTTTGTTCCCTTTCTTATGTCGCAAATACTTGAAGAAATTTTGCCAACAGTTCAATCGATCGTTTAGAATTGATTGCAGGTTATTTTCTTGGGTATGTAACTTTAATGCTAGTAAGTCTTTAGATAATTGTAGGAAATTATTTTCCTGTTCCTTTTTTATATCACGTTTACTATACGAACGCTTTCCTAACCTGCCTTTTCAATCGCCTCACTTCTTTGTTGTAGTACACAGGATCCGAATAATACCGTAGCTTCTTGGAAGGCACGAATTTTTCTAAGTATTCGGAAATTTTGTTCTTAAAATTTGTCCATATCTGTTCTACCGTACATCCGCTAGAAGCCCAAGTTGTAAAATTACTCTTCAAATATAATTCCATGTTTGTGACGTCTGTTCTATAAAACTGAAATATTTGTCTTTCTTTTACATAATCATTTTTCTTACCTTCTCTACGCATTTTTAGAAGGACTCCTTTGTGATCGCTAATTCCAGAAATTACTTCACAGGCAAGAAGTTTATCCACCGGTCTAATAAGGAAAACGTCCAGTAAAGCATTATCGGGAGTGGGTTGGTCACTTCCTGAGTTAAGCAGTTGTCTCAAACCAGCTCGTTTATGAGACGTTGGGTGGCGCCTTCAGCCCCCACGCCCCCCTCCCAGGTAGCCTCCAACAATGTCGTTTTTTCCACTTCTCCTGATTACGCGTGTTCGCTCTATTAGTCTTTGCAACGGTTCGTGTGTATATTGCTGTGCACCTACAATCTCCCACCTAATTGACCTTTTGAGTTTCTATCTCTAATGTCTACACCTATGATTTCAAATGTCATCCACTGCTTCTACTGCATGTTTCTACTGCTTCAAAGTTGTCTTTTATACATATAAAAGCACCCCCACCAATGCGATCTACTATATTACGTCTGAATGTTACTTTCGTCTGAAGGTTTCAGCGTTCATTGAACCGTGATTCCGTGTTTATCTCGACATCTACATTATAAAATTCTACGGTGTTCCAGAAATGAACAGTTTTATTACAAATACTCCTGCAATTAAAGACTTGTAGACTCTATCATACAAAGTATAACATTGTATGGTGCAGAAACATGGGAACTAAGGAAAAGAGAAAGAGAATTCTTAAGCGAATGAAGGTTCAAAAATCAATAATAGATGAATTGGAAACACGAAGGCTGAAATGGTTTGGTCAGGTGAAAAGGCTTGATTGTGGGAGACGGCCCAGAAAGGTATGCGAGTGGTTTCCTTTAGACAGAAGAAAAAGAGAGGAAGACGCAGAGAGGAATGGCAGAAACAGATTTTTAATGATATGCAAAGAATAGGACTAGAAGAGAATGGCTGGAACGATAGAGTGGTATGGAGATTGGGATGCGATAAACGGCCACAAGAGCTGTAAAACACTCGCAAGAAGAAGAAGAAGAAGGAGAAGAAGACTCCTGCAATTAACCTGCAGGATATCCCGAGACTCACCTTCTGCGAAATTCCTAATTGTAATGTCACCGTCTCTCGCCACCATTGCCGCGTCGCTGTCCGGCGATATGTCGCCGTTCGTCGTCACCGCCACCGCGTCGCTGTCCCTCGCCGCCGTCACTGCGTCGTGGGCCGTCGCGACACAATCCCTCGCCGCCGTCACCGCGTCACTGTACGTCGGGGTTGCATCACTGTCTCTTGCCGCGCTGCTGTCCGTCGCCGACTTCCCAGCACAAACCATCGGTGGCGGTGAAATGACGGTAACTGGCGTTCCGAGGTCCCTATTCTTCACATACGTTTGCAGCTGTTCGGTTCGGATTCCCGGTTTCAGGTTTCAAAATTCTTCGAATTTTGATCATGATTGAATGGTGTAGATAATATTTTCATGGATTCGAGGATTCGACAGCCCCATGTTGCCACCGCCATGCGGTCTCACGAACCTTTCGCGGAGTCTCAAGCCTCCTAAGCGCGAGAAGAGTCCACCAAGATTTGAGGCTCCCGAGCGATTTAAGTGCAATCCGTCACGACCGAAATGGTCGTCCCGCAACCACGAATTTGTGACCACAAAAATGACTTTCCTTTTCTTTGCCATCCACTCCTACATTCGCTTGACTACATCAACCCCTCTTCGTGGAATGTCACGACGCCTGAGAATGCCACTAATGAATATTTTGGCCCTTGTGCTTTCATCACGAAGTTACCCATATCCCGCAAGATGTAGTCAGGATGTCTCCTCCTCATATCATTAGTACCAACATGTAAAATGACGGTGTCTGGCGTTCCGAGGACCCGCATACTCCATTCTCCACATACCTTTGCAGCTGCTCGGTTCGGATTCTCCGTTTCAGGGTTCAAAATTCTTCGAATTCATCCCATTCTCATCGGTCATGATTGTATGATGTAGATAATATTTTCATGAAAGGTAATACATTTTAACTGAGAACTAACTTCTATACGATGTCTATTATTCTCCTTTAAGAAGTTTTAATCGCTGATTATGGTATTAAAAAATTAAAAGCTCACTTCAAATGTAATTAAGGTAGATTTGTGTGAAACTATTCTTGTTTTTTCTGTATTTTTATATGTAAAACTGTAACATTTAAATTTATTCATGTTCCTTTCATTTCTAAAACGAAGAAATTATTTCTCTTCCCGGCAATAGAAAATTGCAGATTGGCACGAGATGCGATTCATTTGAATTAGAATTTTTCACGTTATAACTGGGTTTTTAGTATTGCAGAAATTACAGTATTATAATATTATGATGTAGGCTGTCCGGGTGACGCCGCGTCGAAGGCTGAGGTGCAGACGTTTCGACCAACACATCGCGGTCTTCTTTAGGAGTGCGCCAGGATTTTTTTTCGACTTTGCCAAAGGTTTATGTGCTTTTTGCTGCAGTTCGAACGCATTTCGCGTTTTACTGCAACGTGTAAGTGGGTGGTGTGGCTTCGTGTCGGACCGTAATCAATAGCCAAATCGGCTTTTGTGATGCACTACGCCCTCTGAACATCACAGGGAAGTTTCGGCACTAGAATCATGCTTAGAACTCATGAGCTCATCTTAACTTGTGCTCCAACCGGTACCTTGACTGCGGCCCCGCCTGATTCGAGAAGCGAAAATAGCCTATGAGGACGTAAATGTAGCTTCGCTATGTCGCGTTAACGCGACATCGCCGATGCCACAGTGGGTTCTGACCTCGTGCGTCGTCGTCCTAATGTCATTAAAAATGAACAATAAGTAATAAGCTGATGTTAAGGTAACAAAATTTCTAGGTCTCTCAATTCAGTAAAAGCTCAAATGGAATGTACAGATAACAGAATTAAACACTAAATCAAGTTCATTATGTTACGCATTCAGAATTCTATCAAATTCTGTCAGCCTTCATGCAGCTCGTTGCGTCTATTTTGCAAATGTGCATTCCCGCCTGAGGTATGGCATAATATTCTAGAGAAGCTCATCATGTAGTATCCAAACCTTTAGATTGCAAAAGAAAATGATTCAAATAATGAACAAATGCCATCCGCGTGATCCCAGCAAGCCTCTCTTCATTGAGCTTGGTATCTTACCATTCCCTTGCCTATTTTTTTACGAATGTGTAATATTTGTCAAAACTGACTTACTTAACGGTGAGAACATATTTCCATGCAATACTGATATTTATGATAACAACACACGTCGTAGAAATCACGTTCAAGTGTCAGTATCAACAGCTCACTACCAGAAATCCACATACAATACATGTATGTTACTTTACAACGCACGGTCAGATGACATTAAACAACTGAAGTCGGGACACAAATTTAATTTAAAAGTAAAATCTTTTCTGCTGCATAACTGTTTCTATACAATTAGTATAATAAACTGAACTACAAAAAGAAAAAAATGTTTATTTAACAAAACAGTGATATATAATGAATTAATTTACATTTGTATTGTATAATTTTTTTAACAGACTTAGTATGCTTGTAACAAATAATTTACCTCAGCTTCCGAGTCAATGACCCTCATCTCGATCAGGTTTTTGTCCAGTTTCCCTGATACATTGAGCAAATGCTGAAGTGACCCCTTGTCTTGCTTTTGGACGTAAATGTAGATTCACTATGCGCATATTTTTTTAAACTCTCCTTTTGCTTATAGTAAGGTAACGGTGCTTTTGTTAGCAATGCTGAAAATAAAATCTACAGTTCTTTTACTGTTGCAAACACGTTTTCTATAGCTCGAGAACCAAAATGCCTAGTCTTTCAACTATCGCTAATCTCGCGCTTTTTAAAAAAAAATCTTTATTTATTTATTTATTTATTTATTTATTTATTTATTTATTTATTTATTTATTTATTTATTTATCTTTAACTTTGACTCATCTGTCAACTATTTATAGTTAAAATGATGGGAAGGAATTCTAGAACTCAACAAAACGTGCGCAGATTATCTTCTGTATACGTCACATACAGTTTAATGTTTTTTGGCCAAATAAATAAATCTGAATCTATGTCCGGCGTGGGTGAACGAGAGAGGGGCGACTGTTGCCTCTCGTTGGCTGCTGTCATCATGCAACGGGCGGCTGTGACCTAGTGTGGTGCGTGCCCGCCTCTCCCCGTCGCTCAGTACACCGCACGCTCTGCGGGCGCCCAGCCGTTCAGGAAGAGTCTCACCACGCTTGCACCGTACGAATTTTGTGAATGACCCTTAACTGGGTCCCTATCATCTCAACTTTCCCGCTGACAGGCGGAGAGAACAAAGGAAACTGTGAGACTAGATTCCACCAATACGGCTTATTATTTTTAGCGGCAAAATTAATGGTGTTGTTGTTGTTGCAACCACTCCAAATAAACTAGTAAGCGGCAAGAAATAAAATCATAAATTATAGTAATTTTATAAATTTATTCATATGCATGCCGTCATCATTTTAAAGTTTAATTAAATGAGTTGTGAAATTAATTTTGTATGTGTATTATTGACATGCAATCCCGCATCCAAAGACCGCCTGACAGGTTACAATATATACAGAAGACTTTTCTGCTTGGTAACCAAGGCCCGGCAATAAAAGTTTTTGTGTCGAAAATCTGCCACTTTCCGGTACACGATTACAATACTTTCTGTTCTTACGAAGTGAGGCCTAGAGAGTAAAACCTGTCTGAAGAAATTGATAAAAGCACTGGCTACCATGAGGCGAGATATCGTTCTTTTAACGCTAACGATAACAAAGAACTTCTGGTAATAATTTTTAATCGTTATTATGCTTGAGGAAACTTGCACAATAAAATGTGTAAAGAATTGGACGACAAAATGAGCTGATATTGTCTGGTCTTTATTCACCGACAGGATATAATTATATTCTAGCATTTTATGGCCAATGAAAGAAAAAAAGCCTTTTCAATTACTTCGAGAAATAATAAAATTCCAAAACGCTTTCATCAACGTGTTCAATGAACGTCAGAAAAATCTTTGATGTGACAGAAATGTTCTTTGCTTCAAATAAATTTTCATGATGCACGCTCTCGGAAAATTGGTGTCTCGGTCGGCGCGCCGAAAGACAAACGCTCCGGATGAACAGGGCCCTTGTTGTCCCGGGGAGCCACGGGTTTGCTCGTTGAGGCAAGCGGCGCGTCATCTTCGGCGAAAGATAAAATAAACACCCGGTAGAACAAACCGTATCGATAGCAACATATTGACCACATGAATGTGCGTTTCACTTTATTACTTTCTCCCTGATGACTTTCTCCCTGAAATTACTGGTGCTACAAGACATATCCAACAGTTTTATCCACGGAAAAATGTAAAGAAAAAATTGGGAATGATTTTTGAGAAAATGTGACTTTACTTTCGTGCACCTACATCGTTAAGAACAGCAAGCATTGTAATCGCGCGCCACAAAACGACGAACTTTCGTCAGAAAAACTCTTATTGCCTAGTAACGAAAAAGTGGATAAATCTGTCTCACTGATATCGAAAAATTGGTTTACGCCAAAACAGTTCGTTTGTTTGTGAAAAACGCAAGCGGTAAACCATAAGAAGCATTTTTACCAAAATTGGTATTCCTCAGTCGATATGGTTTATCTAGTAGATCTTTGAATTTCAAATGGACGTTTCAATTTTTTGGTGGCACATTACATAAAGCCTCGAGTACATTCAGTTCGTAAGTAGGTAAGGAGGTAAGAGTAAATTCAACTATGTTTTCGGCCCGAAAGCTGCAAGCTCGGAGGATGATCGCTATGCAATCAAAACGATTAGCCAAATAAATTGTTGATACTAGACAACATCTTTTGTTTATCATACTTAAATATTAGAAGGTATCCACCTCACCAGCAATCTAATGAATCAGTCTTTTAGTGCATTCGTTGATGGTAGGACTTGTCATTTATCCACTATCATCACCTTAGTTTTGGCCTTATTAATAGTCAATCCGTATTTGTTGCTCCTCTTCTTTAATCGTCTTATCAATTGGCTCATTTATTCCTCCGAATCTGCACATGGTGTGGCATCAACAGCAAATCGTAAGTTGTTCCGTTCATCTTCAATTAATTACTCCTCTGTTCCAATTATCCAAGGTTTCTGTAACTATTTGTTCACTGTAGATGTTAAATAAGATACGAGAGAGTATGCAATGGCCTTGTCGTACTCCTTTCCTGGATTTGAATTGATCTGGCATCGAACTGAGCGTCCTTACTACTGCCATTGAGTCTCTATATAGATTCTGAACTAGGTGGATTAGATGTTTAGGAACCCATATTTCTTGTAGAATGATTCAGTTTCCTCCATT